TATCATGACATTATAAACAAAATGGCTTCCTAAAGTCCACACTGAACCCATCAACACCATCATCACTAACACAAGCAAAAACAAAGATAATGATAAAAAAAAACTAAATAAAATAAATATTGACAAGAAAGAAAAAAAACAAACTCTTACAGGCCCAAGACAAAATTGTTTAAACACTACCAGTTAACAGAAGGTTGTCATTCACAATCAGTGAGGTGGCCAAAACCAGTCAACCAAGCTGACAGAACAAACTGTCCATTAAATATTGGTTAAGAGCAGATATGAATGAAAAAGTTCACTGAGAAGAGATGAGTAGAAGTAGATAGGAAGAAGTAGGTGGAATATGTGTAAGTATCGATATTTACACCTGTGAAGTGGAATACGATAAAATTAATTAATTTTTTCATCACCTCTTAGCTACAAAGAAGACTAGAGAATTAAGTTAATACAGTTTTACTGAAACAATAAAATTTATTTTCAGACTCTTCACAAAAAGTTAAAAATAATTAAACTGACTTAAGCAAATAAACCATAGAAATAGTATGTACATAGAGAAAAATGAATTTTTATTCCAACATTTTTTATTACTTCAAATGTTATTTTCAAGTGCACAGTGATACTGTTTTAACAAAATATGGGGTGTCTACTCAAACGTGTATCCACTAAAAATAACATTTGAAGTAATAAAAACAGAGAAGAGCAAACACAAACAAGTTTTTATAAAACTGAACAAATTTAACAGAAGTTATTTTTAGTCTGATTGAAAAAATGAAACAAAAAAAAAAAAAAATGCAAGTTAAAAGTCCAAAAATGAAACAAAGGTAACAAACAAATGAAAAAGATGCCAACAACAAATTTTAAGTTTCTTAAAATGTCAAAATCATTATAAAGTCCAAAGTAATTCAACATATAAATCAAATGCAAACTGACAATAAACACTAATAAAAGTTTGAAAATAATTCAAAACTAGTGAAGGATAAACTATTGTAGTGTTATTAAAATGTATTGTTTTAAAGTTAAATGAGACAAGTACAAAATATAAAATGTGTTGATCTTTATTGTCTAGTAAATTATTGTGCACATATGTGCATGCAACACAGTCGAAAAAGTTTTTGCATGACATGTTTCAACCTTTAGCACTTCAGTCTGAAAAAGTTCTAAAGGTCGAAATATGTCACACAAAAATTCCCCATACTTCTTTCCCCTAAAATTCTTCTTGAGATAGATTATATATTATAACAATATAAATTTGCCCAACAAAAATGCATAAATTACTCAAATTTAATGAGTAGATTTTTGTAAACAAGGTGCTCAATTTTAGAAATAGAACAACAATAGTCTAGATAAAGAAAAGTTCAAAAACTTATCTTTGAACCAACTTCAAGTTTTGCAGATACATTACTTGTCAGGATTGGATAAATCTATTGAATTCATTAGCAGATATCATAGTTATATATGCTGCATAAAGATCGCTAGTAAAATTATATAATCATTCAATAAATTCCAAAATTCTATTTACCCCAAGCTCCACCCAACTCCAAGATAAGGGTAAAATGTTTAAGTTTCAAATAATCTATATATGAAACTTTCATGATTTCAACAGTGGAATATACCACTGATATAAACAAAGTAAGATGATTGTAATTAAATTAGAAATAAGTATATTTTGATTATATATAATTTATTCTGAACAAATAACTGTACAGTATACATGGGAAGGAAAAACTTTTTTTTTGGCATGAAATGTAAAATTATATTTTACGCCCTATGTAAATTTCTTATGACTTTAAATGTTAGATTTAGTGGATACACATGTTTGAGTAGACATCTCTATTTTTTAAACTGTAAATTTACGTCTACTGGTCTGTGCATCTGTGCAAGTGTCTTAAGAAAGAAAGGTTCAAGCAGGGTTCAAACCTGCATCACTCTTGTGGAGGAAACTAACATGAAGTCCAGCATGCTTTTGACAAATAAGCCACAGAAAACTTTTATAGTCAAGCAAAGTTCAACTACCCTATTTAACAAATGCACATCTCTTGTTTGGATCCCTTGAAACCCATATCTGCTAACTTTACACTGTGGATACAAAAATAAAGTAATTTCTGGGAAGATAATGGATTTAATTTATAATTCAACATTTTTTTATCACTTTAAACATATTTAGTAGCTACACATGCTTAAGACATTTACATCTATGTAACCACTAAATATAACATTTAAGGTAATAAGAAATAATGTTGGATTATAAATAAAATCCATTAACTTTTTAGAAATGACCTATGTATATGCAGTATGATGAGATCTTGAAAAGTTCTCAGCCTGACCAAGAAACTCATTAAAAGAAAAAAAAAATCTGATGCTTGGTTATTTGGTCAGATTTTGAGAAGTGGGTCAATCCAAAAACTTTTCAGCAACCCCCTTGACTATATGACCATTAGTTTTGAAGTACGCTATTAATGTTTTGGTATCTTATAATGCCACTTCACCCCAGTACCCATAATTATATAACAATTTAATCTCTTCAAAACATCCAGGTCAGTATGATCTTACAGAAGCCAATCAAGTGAAATCAGTGCCAATTTGTTGTTAAAAGCACAGCTGGTTATGCCAGTCACTCAAGTACATGAAATAAGAAGCTTAAATCCAAACGTATACGAATGTGGCCTTTAATATGAAAAAGTGAGGAATAAGCACAATATATACAAACAATACAACACACTTCTATTTACTTTAAAATACTTTATATTCATTTGTAATTAAGTATATATTACAATAATAATATTATCCATATTTCAATAGCAACATCTGTATATGGATTTTAGTAACATCAAATACACACATATTTATAAGATTATTATTAAACACATTTCAAATTTAATATTATAGTTTCTAAATGTGTTTTACTTAGTCATGGGAAATGTTAGGCAACCAAATTTTTTCTTTTTGCAATGTTGTCAGTTAGCCTTTGTTAAAACATATCAACTTTGAAGACTGTCTACATAGGGACAATCACAAGATTACCAATCAAAGAGATAAGATGACTTGAAACAGCATTTATTTTATTAATTCTTTGTCAAGAGAGCAAATAAAATGGGGAATATTATTAACATCCAAATTATAAATCAAATTTTTGAATTTCTATATTCCCTTCTTTCTTTCTCAAAGAAATATTACTTGAGTAGCATACAGATTTGTCCATTTGTTTTTAATAATTGAACGATAAAAGAGATTAAAATGTTAGAAGCACATGATGTATAAAAAAAAAAGACAACTTCTACTTTTTTGTTATTTATTCAAAGCAAATTGTTTTCCAGCAAATGAATTGACATTTTTCCAAATGAGAAGTCAAGATAAATACATGCCCAGGAATAAATCAGGTAAATTTTATTTAATGTTAAGGATAAATTATTTAAATAAATCTCAACTGATCACACCTATATTTTAAATTAGCTGGAAAATCTAGGTTACAAATATTTTAAAATTTTCTGCATTCAGTATCAGAATAGATACTGTTTGGATAGATAAGAAATCATTGAGGTAGAAAAGTCTGTGCTTAGCAATATTACATCTAATAATAATAATACAAATAAGGAAGAGTAAAATCCTAAAGAAACTTTTGAATTAAAAAAAAAAAAAATAATAACAGATTAATCTGGATTTAAGGGAGATCAAAAGAAAAGAAAATTAAATAAACATATTCAATCACTTCATCTGGATTTAAGGGAGATCAAGAACCAAAAGAAAATTAGAGAAATATATTCGATCAGTTTAAAATTTAATTTGTGTTGTAGCATAAACTTTAGTACATATATATTGGAAATTCAACAAAAATGTTCAATCCATTTGCAAATTTAAAAGCCAAAAAACTGTTCATGCTACAGTACATTTTTTAAGGAAGGAATTTAAACAAAACTGATCAACAATAAAATCTTTGCTGAGAAAAAAAATTTATTTACTCAGAGAAGATGAAAATATAAAAAATTCCTTTTGTAATATAATGTTGTAACATTCTGATTCAATTAAATAGTTACAATTTATAACATTGATAATTATTTTTCAACATAAATGAAATTTATATCTAAAACAATAATTGCTCAGAGGTTTAGCTGTTGATAAAAAATTAAGAGAGAAATTAAAAGTAATTACAAATGATAACATTATATTTAAATTATAGTCTGAAATCTTCTCTACTCCATGTATAAAGTATATTGTAATTCAATAAATTCTTCCACTAGATGAATGTGAAATGCTTTAGTTTTGTAGATTTTAAATGAGAAAGTTTTATGAATTTAATATTGAAATGGACAAAACTAGATGATTGCAATTATATTTGAAGTGCTCAAATAAAAAAAATAAAAAATATGATAATATACCAAATAGTGAGCTTAAAGGAAAAGAGAAAAAAATAGTGAGATTAAAGGGAAAAAAAAAAAAAAAAAAAAAAAAAAGAGAAAAAAGTGGAACAAAGCGTAGACCAAGGGAGACAACTTAATTATTAACCCTATTAATTTTTTAATGCCATAAATTTAAAAAGCAAAATAGGGGAGAATTTAGAGGCAATCATTTTTGGAAGGTAGGTTTTATTCATGAATACCACTTTTGTGACCCCCTCTTGTATTGCTAAAATTTCTTCATCACTGATTTTTCTTTCATTCTTTTTCTTCTTTACTGCAAATCTATTTTGCATATTCTAAAAACTATCTTGAAAAATTTAAATGCAATGTCAATTATCTTCCATCTTCTTAATTTCTGTTCTTGTTCTCACTCCTTAATGTTTTTCTTTTTCTTATATTCTTTCAGACTCAGTATCCCCCTGCATCTTAGTGGCTTTGTTGCCTTGCTTATGGTGAAATAATGAAAATGAAAGAAAAAGACATATCTCAATACATCCTGATCACCAAAAGATAGAATGGTTATAAAATTTGTTAAAATTATGGATAGCCATGTTTGAAAATTATGACCATTGGGACAATGAAGAATAAACAAGTAAATAACATTACCTGGATGATTCTGCTTTGGCAATGTCTGGTGTATCTTGAATGATGGTAACTTCATCTTCACTGTCATCATCAATATCGATCACTTCTGGGGAAAACAAAAAGGATAAAAGTCATGAATTATTCAGAATTAAAAAAAAAAAAAATAAAATAAAAATAATTTTTATGTTTGTGATAGAATTGCTAAATATAAAACTCTTTACATATACATAAAAGATTTTTTAAAGAAAATCCGCTCTATCAACAGATGATTTTAGTTAACATTTAAACTGCAATTCTTTTTTGCTATTATTCTACAATTTAATTTAATACAAGGCTGGAAAGCTACTGAAGGTAAAGGGTTACAGGCAACAAAATGGTAATGGTGAATGGGGTGTTTGCCATGAATGGGAGAAAAGGCAGCAAGAAATGAAGATTATGAGGAGTCACAGGAAAGATGATGATTGAACCTTGAAGAAGTCAAGATTGAAAGAATCAGGGAATGTGCTCCATAAAGTGGCAGGTCTTGAAGAAAGGCTGTTTCAGTGAACTTTCTTTTATTTGGAATATGAAGGAAATGAGTATGATGAGTACTCTGTGGAAGTGGTATGGTGTTAGAGCTGTAAAGACCTGAATTTATGGAACTAAAGAGTGGGCTCAATATTCAGATTCTGAACAATTATGGTTATTATCAATAGTTTCCACTTCGTAATTTTCACAGCAAAGATTGGTAAAAAAAAGTGACTGAAAAGAAGCTGCTTCTCTATCTGACATCTGGTCATATTTTGGGAAGTGGGTTTAGACCAAGAATTTTCAATACCAACTTGTATATATGATGAAACATAGAAAAATTATACAGGCAAATGTTATATAATTATCGATAAATTTAATTAAATAGGAAAAATACACCATGGAGAATTTACTTTACAATAAGTTATTAAAATGTAAAGTAATTGCTCCACCATAATTATAATTGATATCTTGAATGTTTAATGAACTAATCAATTATGAGCTTTCAAACATTATAAATTGTTATAACCAAAATGTTAAGAGATTGAGACAACCATTAGTATAGTCCCTAATTGCACAAGACTAGAAAACAAATCACTTATTTTTTTTTTCAAATAAAATGAATTATAGTTCATATGTACATTTAAACATGTACAATCCTTGACATCATTTTTTCTTTTGCTTTTATTGATAGTTTTGATTAAGAGGTAAGGAAGTAAATTCCATATTCAACTGAAATCATAAAATCACAATTTCAAAACTTGCAATCGTTGTTTTAATTTCTGTTTCCTGATAATTTCTGCAATGACATTAATCAATTATTTATCAAATTCATAAAATTTTAATTTATCTTTAGCAATGCTGTTGCATAGCTCTTAAGATATTTAATAAAATGTTACCCTTCCTGCACAAATAGAATCTTCATCATTCCTCTCTGTATATCCATTTTATTTTAAATCTTTATTTAAAAAAGAAAAAAAAAATTTTCCATCCTTTTTCTACTGTCACCAACATAGACTGACATTATTTTTTGCAAAATCAATTGTTGTTGAACTCCATTTGTCTCAAACATGCAAAGTTACAGAATCTCTGATAAAATAACTCCCATATAGTTTGTATAATTTGCAAGCAAAATAAATTATAGAAACAAGGCCTTTAAAATGCCAAAGTCTAGCTTTGCAATTTATATAATTCATATATTTTATTAATACTTGAAAAATAACATTTACATTTTTTTTTTTTTAATAATGGCCTGTATACATTTACAAATTTATATTATGAAAAAAAAAAAGATGCTTATTTTTAATTTTCAAGAACAATAATTCCCTTTATAATCTTTTTATCTAATCTGCTATTACTTTAATAGCTTCATTGGGAAAAGAAACAATATCTATGACTAAATATCAGTTACAGCAAATATATTCTTTCTTAAAAATTTAGTCATAATCTTATTCATTACCAGAGTGAGGATTGACAAAAAAAGAAAAAAAAATACTCGTGAATTTCTTTGTTCAGTAAGAAGTATTTTCCATTATTATACATCATTTGACAAATTCATTTTTCATTTTTCTGCAGGTCTGTATGTTATTTATGATATATTTTACTTCAAAAAAGGATTTTCCAATTCAACTGTTATGAAGCCTCCCAGAACATTCTTTTTCCTTGAGATGAAATCTTTTTTTCTTTTAAACTTCTCATGATTGCCCCTAGTGCATCATTTCTAAGCTGATCTACCACTGAACTTTCATTTCATTTAATGCGCAGTGTTAAAAACACATTTTATATTAAGACATAATTTTGGCTTGGAGGTACAGCTAGCTTGATAGTTATAAAGAAAGAAAATTGGCAAGCCGAGTTCAAAACCTAGCTGATAAAGTTTGTGTTCATTTCACACAAATCTTTTAGGAAAGGCATGAACCCATCTCTTCTCTCTCAGCTATTGGTAAAATAACAGGGCAAACTAGGATCTCTAGACTTGATTGGTGATCAGCCTAGGAGAAGGATAACTGATTTTAAACTGTTAAACTAGCAAGCCCACCCTATAAAATCTACTTGCAACTGAAACTGTGGTAGTAGAGTCTCCTGTGGTGTTCCTGCAGTCCTGGACTCCTTGACAAATCTACAGATTACAAAATGAGTTTTACCAAAAATTAAGTTAAATTATCACTTTTCCACAAGCAATTTTAAACACACACACACACACACACATATAATAAAGAGGTAAAGTAAAATTGAAGCTTTGTGCAAGAGCCCTAGGAATGTTTGACTCATGACAATAAAGTTAATTTGCATCAAGAGATTTTAGAAATAATTGAATACAATTATGAACAAATATTTATATAAAGATCTATTTATTATTTTTAATACTTACATTGTATTATAGGTTTATAGTAATGCTTTTAAATATTTTCTATTTGATTGTAGATCTATATTCTAGGTTTTGTATACAAGATAAATTCTCATTAATTTCACTCATAACTACTAAAAAATGAAATTTTTTTTTGCATTTCATATCAATAATATGCCAGAAATTAGTTTACATTCTTTTTTTTTTTTTTGTTTCCCCACCTAAAGATGATTTTGGTCTGACTGACTGGTGTCTGGTACACATACACTTTAAATCATATAGACTTAAAGTATGGATAGAGCTATTAAAAGCTAGCAAAATGATTATGGTTTTCTTTGTAAGAGAAAGACAAGCAAATGATCAGCATCAAAATGAATAGACAACCTATGTAGATATCAGAAAAACAACACAATTTCCTCCATGTCATCCATTTTTAGGAGTAAAAATAAAAATGAAGGAAAAAAAAAAAAAAAAAAAGGAAACACCCATTTTATATCAAACATTGCATTTTTATATAAATGCTTTGCTTGCATTTTGAAAAATAAATAAGGTTTAATAAAAATGTTTTTTTATTTTTATTTATTTTATTTTTTTTACTTTTAAAATTATTTTACAGAATTAACATGGTCGACTGCCAAAACCATAATCTATACAGAACTTGTTTTTAATCAATATTTATTAAAATAAGCTGGCACTTCTTTAGACAACAAAAACAATTATAATATAATTTTTATTAAAATATCTAGCATTTGTATTACAAAAATAAAATGTTTAAAATTATGCAAAGACATACAGAGTGTGACCACTTATTTGGCTCCTAATTTTTTTCTTGCTTTAGGTTTGAAATACAATTTTTATTAAAATTATTCCATATCATTGTCAATTGTTATTAAGAAAAGAGTGATATTTTTGGTGTGGGGGGATTGTCCTATGTAAATTGCAGATTTTCCAGTGAACCATTTGAAATCTGAATGCAAATCTATGAAGCTTAATATAAACAAGCTGATATTTTGTTACACCCTAATCATTGCAAATTAACAAACTTGAGGAGAATATGAATTAGAAGAGTGAGTGTCAAAACACTTGAAATATTTGATAGGCAATGAACATCAATTAAGCTGAAAGTTTTTCATAAGGTAACACAATCCTTGTTCTTACAGTTGAGGAAGTGACACTTGAACCAAAGCTGTTAGTGTTTTCAAGCAAGAAAAGAGACATTAAGTATTCTTTGAGGGAAGCAAACAGCCTTTCTATATACATGAACATTATATATATATATATATATATATATATATATATATATAATGTAAATAAATATATATACTTCAACCAATTTACAAGTAGAAATGAAAAGGAGGTTCTTGGCATGTGTTAGAGAGTATGAAAAAGAAAGCGTAAAGAAGAGAAAGAATTTTGTCTGTGAGTGAAAGAGAGAATGAAAAATGAGAGTGTATGTGTGAAAACAGAAAAAAAAATAACTAAATCAAAGAAAAACATTTCAGAGAAAACTGTTGGTAAGAGATGAAAAGAGAAAGCCTTTGAATGCATGTGAGAATGATAGAACAGTATATATATATATATGTGTGTGTGTGTGTGTGTGTGTGTGTGTGTGTGTGTGTGTGTGTGTGTGTGTGTGTGTGTGTGTATATATAAAAGTGTCATGTAGAAGACTGTATTTGTATGTCAAACAGAAAAAGTAAATTTTTTATAAAAAGATTGTGTAAAGCTTAAAACAGTCTTTGAATAAAAAGTATGCAAGAAAAAGTAAACAAAAAAAACCCCAAAAGGACTGAGTGACAAATAGAAATAGAGAGCAACTTAAATAAATAAAAACTGAATGAATCCTACACAAAAAGAATGTGTGTATGTCTCAAATGAAAAAAGTACAAAAAGGCTTTATACATGTGTGTGCATCAAATTTATTTGTAATATATTGTTAGTCTCTGGCAACTTTGGTACAAAAGCCATATTCCCCAAACACCAAGTGAATAGTGTATGTCAAAATGAGAAATTGTTTGGAAAACAAAGAGTGTAAAATAAAATAAAAATAATAAATTATGTAAAATTTTAAGTTTGTGCCTGAAATGAAGCAATATTGTGGTATTTTAATGTGAAAAGGTAGAAGAGGGAAAGTTCAATGCAAATGTACAAAAAGAAAAATCTTTTTATACAAAAGAGCAAATATTAAGGAGAAAATGGCTGTGTATATATATATATATATATATATATATATATATATATATATATATATA